GACGCCCACCCCGACGACCCTTTGGACGCTTCACCAAACACCCAACCCGACGCCCTTCCCGACCCCTCACAATACGCCCAACCCGACGCCCCTCCCGATGACACACCCGACCCCCAACAGAACGCCCACACGACGCCCATCTCGACCTCCAGGCGGCGGACTATCCTTGTCACGGGCATCTGGCGAGGCATCGACAACGCGGCTTTGCATGCGACCTTCAGCCTCTTCGGCAAAATCCGCACATCTTACATCGTTGCCGACGGCTACGGCATCCCGCAGGACCACGGCTATGTCCACTTCGAGACCGAGGAGGCGGCCAGGAAGGCCACCCGCCGCACCGCGGGCATACCGTGCGGCAGTCGCACGCTGTGGGCCACCGACATGATGAGCTTCGACGACCCCCACGACGACGCTCCCGTCGACGCCCCCGCTGACGCCCCCCCGACACCTCCGCCGCCTCCCACGACTCCCACCACGACCCCGCGACCCCTCCCTCCTCCTCCTCCTCGTCTTCTTCTTCCTCCTCCTCCTCCTCCTCCTCTTCCCCTTCCTCTTCTCCCCCTCCCTCCTCCCTCCTCCTCCTTCTCCTCCTCCTCCCCCTCCCTCCTCCTCCTCCTCTCCTCTCCTTCTCTCCCATCCCTTCCTCCTCCTCCTCGAGGGACGCTGGAGGCTGGGAGGATCTGGGCTCGCCCCGGCTTCGCCCCCCCCCCCCCCCCCCCCCCCGCACGCGGCGCACTCCCGTGGGCTTCCCGCGCCTCTGCCGAGCCGCCCCGCTCGCGCCCCCCCCCCCCCCCCCGTGTGTGCGCTCCGCCCGGGCGGCCGAGGCTTCGGCCCGTGCGTCTTGAGCCAGGTGTGCCAGGTGATGGACATGGTGCGGCGGAGGTCTTAGATGGGGGTGCCTCCGATGAAGGCACCCAGGGCCTCGCGACCAATGGGCGGCCCGAGTGCGCTCCGCCCGGGCGGCCGAGGCTTCGGCCCGTGCGTCTTGAGCCAGGTGTGCCAGGTGATGGACATGGTACGGCGGAGGTCTTAGATGGGGGTGCCTCCGATCAGGAAGCCAGGGCCTCGCGACCAATGGGCGGCCAAACGTGGGCCACACACCTCGCCTTGAAGCAGGGAGGAACGCGCCAGGGTCTGGGTCCCAGGAAGACGTTCCTTCTCCAATGCCGCCGCCGTATCCTGTCGCACTGCTCCCAGTCAGAAGGTCGACTCTCTTATGCCGGATAGGAAGTCAGACAACCGTTGAAAAGCGAGGCGCGGTTGGTGTGATGGCCGCGCAAGGAGTGGTGGCACGACCAGGATGCGACGCGGGTGAACTTCGACTTGAGCCAAGGAGCGAACACACATCATTCTTGTCACGCTCCGACTGCAAACACACTGTCACCTGTTCGAGTCGGGGTAAAGGTGCTCTTCGCCTGTGCCAGCGGAGGATCGTCCTCTCCTTACCTCCGCCAACTTCCGCCGGCCCTCCGCCGATCGAAAGCGAAACCCTGTCCGGAGCGCTCCTCAGAAGTGCAGGCCCGAGCCGAAGACAAGCCGTCGCACACATTGGCGGCTCTGGCGCTCCCGGGCGCCTGTCAACATCACTCTCAAGAGATACCCGGGAGGACTCCCCGGCGGTTTCCCACGGGGCCCCCTGGGCGACGCGGCGACCGTACACGTCGGTCGGAAGAGGTAGGTAGAAACATGAAGTAGGAAGGCGGATATAGTGGATTGGGCCCAGGCCCCCCCAGAGAATAACAAAGCACAGCAAAAGCGTGCCGATCCTTGAAGTAGGAAGGCGCTTGAAGTAGACTGGGACCTGGGAATCCAAAAATACCTACTTTCAGCGACCGGCGTGTATATGTGGGCGACGCAACTTCGGCTCGCAGATGGCTCCTGTGCCCTCGCCTCTCCACCACGCCCTCCTCCTTTCTGTCAGTCTTGCCGTTCTGTGGCAACCATGCTTAGAGTCCAGAGGACCACCACGCTGATCGCAACCAAGAAGCAAGCATGAACACACGTCGGTCGGAAGAAATAGGTAAAAACATGAAGTAGGAAGGCGGATATAGTGGATTGGGTCCAGGCCCTCCCAGAGAATAACAAAGCACAGCAAAAGCATGCCGATCCTTGAAGTAGGAAGGCGCTTGAAGTAGATCGGGATCTGGGAATCCAAAAATACCTACTTTCAACGACCGGCGTGTAACATAGACCAACCGCGATGTCGTGTGTAGTGGATCCGCCGCTAGCTGAGGCCATGGTATGATAATGCTCACACGCTTCGTGAACTCGTGCCGCATGTTGGGTCGACGACTTGGGGAGCTTCAATAGCACGGTGAGTCCTGAAACCGTGCATCACAGCCAACGCAGCGCCCGACCTAAACTCTGTCTTCAGTCAAGCTGAAAAGATGAATGTGCGACCTGTGGGGGCAATGCTGCTGGCAGTGGCAGCGTCGAGGCCGACGATGCGACCTCTGGTACTAACGCTGGTGGGAACTGTATTGTTGTAGTGTTGGTAAACGCAGTGGCCCAGGCGTGCTGATGCAATGACTCAGGCGACAGCTGATGACCTGGGGCAGGCGTGCGGGTGCGATGGCTCATGCGGGGCGATGTGGTTGCTAAGACGCGCTGGCGCCATGGTTCAGGCGTGCTGATGCAATGACGCATGCGCTTGCCGATGCCATGACGCGGGCGTTTGCTGATGCACGGGCTCTTGCCGCTGCAGGCGCAAAGGCCGAGACGTTCGTTGGTACAACGGCTCAGGCGCTTTCTGATACAATGGCTCAGGCTTTTGGCGTTCTGGTGGTCAGGGTGGTCGTCCCGGGACCCCCCCCAGACACGCGCGCCTGTCCTTCATCCTACAAAGACCACGTGGGTTATCATAATTAATCCTCGAGGCGCAAACGCAGCCAACGACACGCACGTACTTCTATTTCTACTTATCTGCGCGGAACTTGCCAATAGCCTGACCCGCCCGAAGGGTACAGGAACCCGCGCCAGTTATACCGCACCGAGTGGTCCACAAATGAATGTGCAAGGTTCAGAACGAATCGTTTGCGCGAGCGCCGAGCCTAACGTCGCACGTCTTCCCGCAGCAACTCGTGCGATACATGAGCCACGAGCACCCGTGAGCAGAACATTACCTGCACTGTCGCCCCTCCCGGACAAAAACTCTTTATGGGGCCGACCGGAATTTCCAGGGATCCAGAGCGTCCTGGGCGGAACGAGTGCAGCCCGTGCGATTCATGAGCCACGAGCACCCGTGAGCAGAACATTACCTGCACTGTCGCCCCTCCCGGAAAACAACTCTTTATGGGGCCGACCGGAATTTCCAAAGATCTGGAGCGACCTGGGCGGGACGAGTGCAGCCGGGCAGAAATGCTCCCCCCCGCACCCTCTATCCCTTGCCCCCTCCCCCCTCGAACCCCTCTGGAACCCCGTGGGCCGTCCTAGACAAAAACCGAGCCGATGAAACTGGCACGCGGGCCTCGAACCAGTGAGAAGGGGTGGCTGTTTGTGTGGGCGGTTGCCTGCGGTTGCCTCAGCCAGGTGGTTGCGAGCTGCTGCGTGGGTGACCCATGGGTCGGAAGAAGTATATAGAAACATGAAGCAGGAAGGCATTGGAAGTAGATTGGGTCTCCGCCCGCCCCCCGCAGAGGAGGGAGGAGGGGAAGCCACTCGATCATCGAAGCAGGATAGGAAGGCGCTTAACATAGACTGGAATCCGGGAGTCCAGAAATACCTGCCGTCAACAACCGATGGGTACGCGACTGCCCTGAGGCCGCTTGTGCTCCTTTCTCCGGGGGCTGCCACAATGACGCCCTGTTTTGCCATTGTCCGTGTGGCACCGTTGCCCACGGCCGACCTCCACGGTTTCCCCCGGGGCCGTAGGCGACCCGAGGAGGAGGAGGCGGAGGAGGCGGAGGAGGAGGCGGAGGAGGAGGAGGAGGGGGAGGAGGAGGAGGAGGAGGAGGAGGAGGAGGATGAGGAGGAGGAGGGGGAGGGGGAGGGGGAGGAGATGGATGGGGGAGGAGGAGGGGGAGGAGGAGATGGAGGAGGAGGAGGAGGAGGAGGAGGAGGAGGAGGAGGAGGAGGAGGAGGAAGAAGAAGAACAGGAGCAGGAGGAAGCGCCCGGAAGGTGAAGGAGGAGGATGCGTATGGAAGAGTGAGGGGGGGGAGGCTCGAGTACGAGGAAGATTCTGGCGGCGTCCTGACGTGCATGAAAGATGGGCACAGTCACCATCCCGACGTATATATATATATATATACATATGCCTTTTACTAGCCTTCGCGCCCACAACACTTTTACGTTTCAACGCACATGGCCGATCCTGGAAGCACTGGATCCAAAAATATTTTCGTAGCACTTTTACTTCCGACATCTTCCTCCGACTGACCTGCCCCCGTTTTACTTCTGCCGGCTTCCGCCGAAGGCGAGATGTGCTGAAGGCGAGATCCTTTGCGGAACGCTTCGTCTACTTTTCATTACCCCAGCGTTCACAACACCTCCACATTTCAACCCGCACGGAGCGGATGCAGCATCCCAGGCATGCAAGGTCTTGTTATTTTCAGTACCTAGGCTCCCACACATCCCGACTCTTTTCCCATGGCTGTTTTTTTCGTCACGTGTCGTTTCTTGACGGCCCTGGGGGCCAGCGAGGATCCCTGGATGCCGCAAGCGGTCGCGAACCGCTTGTCGTGTTTTTTTTTTCACGACGCGAGCATTTCGGCGACGAGCTCAGGGGTGGAAAGTGAGAAGGGGCGGGCCTTCTCGGAAGGCTTGGAAGTCCCCTGGCCTCCTGAAAAGTCTTCCAGGCCTCCCTCGAAGACGCAGAGAAACTCCTCGGAAGGCCGGAGGCCTTCAGACGAGCTCCGCCGCCTTCTGCGAAGGCCTTCTCCTTCTCGTTTCCCCCCCTCGCTCGCCGCAGAGCACGTGTCGGGGATGCAGCAGCATCGCAGCGCTCCACCCTCGGACCTCCACCGCCGCTCCCGCCCGGCCCCAGCAAGGGTGGGCGGAGGTCCTGTCGCAGATCTTCTCGAACTGGGCCTGCTCCAGCACCAGGGCGATGGCGTACTCGAGCCGCCCGCCGCTTACAATACGGCACTGGATGAGGAACCCTCGGACAAGGAATCCAGGGTCTGGAAGCTGGCGGAACACCGACCGAAGCGTGGCCACGGATACCACCGCCGCGCTCATGAGATGAGGAACCCTCCAGGGTCTGAAGCCTCCCGGGCACACGCGAGCACAAACAAGGGTTCCCCCCCTTCACCGCCAAGCAGCTTCTCAGACCAGCAGGGTGGTCACGGCTTCCCACGACACGCTGGCTCGAAGCATCGCGATCGTGACGACTTCGGCACATCGGCGCTCCAGAGAAGTAGCCCCCGGCCCCCCACCGTGACCGTGACGCCCCCGACTCCATGCCAGGGGCCTCCTTCTTTTTCTGGATGGTCCCAAGCCTCGAAGCGGGCATCCAAGGAACCCACGCGTGGGACAGGAGCGGTCGTCCCGACTCTCCCGTGGAGGAAATCATCTGGCCCTTCCTTGTTTCAATCATCGCGCCCCGAACCTGTCCTGGGGTGCGTTCTGCCTAGACCTTCGCTTCCGATTCAGGCCTCCGCCCCTTGCTCCTGCTGCTCCTCCTGCTCCTGCGCCTTCTTCTCTTCCTCCTCTTCCTCCTCTTCCTCCTCCTCCTCCTCCTCCTGCGCCGCATCCTCCTGTTGCCCCTCCGCTGTCTTCTCCTGACTTCTGGATGCTCCCGCCTGCCCTGGGCCTCCGTCGAGCGTTCCCTTCCCTCCTGCCCCACCCTTGTCCTTCCCTCGATCTCCCCTGCCCCTCTTTCGCACGGCCTCGGAGGCACTCGGCTGTATCCCTGCTGTATTCAAGCACCCTGCCTCCCGATGACGATGATGATGCCGCTGCTGATGATGAGGATGCCGCTGATGATGCTGCTGCTGCTGCTGAGGATGATGATGATGATGATGTTGATGCCGATGTTGATGTTGATGTTGCTGTTGTTGATGCTGATGCTGATGTTGTTGTTGATGCTGCTGCTACTGATGACTGATGATGATGGTGATGACGATGATGATGCTGCTGCTGATGATGATGATGATGGTGATGATGATGACGACGATTTTTGTGGGATTGCAGACGTTCGAGAGCATGGGCGTTGACGCCTCAGGCAGTGCGAAGACGGGCACTGGCGCGGGCGGTACAGGACTGGGTGTGGCCCCAGCAGGCAGCCCAGCCCATCTCGCGGGCCTTGTCGCGATCTGCCAGGTCAAGACAGGCAACTGTACGCTCAACTGTACGCTCAGCGAGGGGGCTGAGTGAAGCAAGAGCGTCTCTGCAGCGCTTGGCCCTGTGAGCCAAATGACCAGCTGCAGAAGGGATGCCTGAGAAGACCTTCTTGCAAACTGGGCAGGAAGAATCTGGGTACAGCATATCTTGCGTCGTTACCAACAGCGTGGGCACGAAACATATGACTACGGAGGCCACGGTTGCTGGTGCAGCAACGACGACGCTCTGGAGGGTACCGCATGCACACGAGTGGGGCGCTGGCCGGAGGAGCCGAAACAATGACGTGAAAGAACTCTGGAGCCACGTCCCCGGCACGCATTCGGGAGAAGCCTGGGTCGAGAGCCGACACGGCGCGCTTCCACTCAAATGGGTTGGACACCAACTCAAGCCAAGGCCACAGGTCTTGGCGTGGGTCTGGCAAAGATCTCAAGGTGGGCACGGCTTGCCGGGCCCACGCGAAGTCCTCAGCGAAAGCCTTCGAAGCAGCAGACTGACAACCCCCGAGGGCCATCAACATCTTTGGGGCGCAGTCCAGGGTCCTGAGAGCAGCGGTAAGGCGGCGCTGGAGGAGGAGAAGGTCAGTGGGGAGCTCTCCTAACTCGGCTAGCACCGACTTGTCTGTCTCATGGCCGATTGTTTTGAACTGGCAGCGGCCGCAAACCTGGCGAAGCACGAAGAGGCGAGCAGCGTTCGAAACCCTAGTTAACTGCTCCTGGGGTGGGCTCAACCCACGTGTCTGTGGGCAAGGGCAATCTGAGTGTCACGTGCTACCCCAGGACCTCCGAACAACATGTGCGCGAGGGGGTGGTACGCAGCGAGGCACTTGAAAGCCTTCGCCTTGGCATCGAGCAGGGTGGAGCCACACACAGTACCATCGTGCTTATACCGGTTTGTGACGACAACTCGTTTGTCACCAGATGGAGTGGTCAAAAAGTATCTTCGTGGTAGGGTCTGTCAAAGCTCGTCGTTCACGGCGGGCGCCCTTGCCGCCCAGTCCAAGAGTGACCTCTGTCTTTCCGGGATCCATGTTGCACTGGAGGCCGCACTTCTCGAACTTCACGATAATGATCTCCAGAAGCTGCCGGGTCACCGAAACGCGCTCGTGCGCGGAACGATGCATCAACATGAACAGCTCGTCGTCCAAAAGATCGACGTCCGCTAACGTCTCAGAGATGGGGTCGCGGGTATCTGGCAACTCAGCATCACCTCGAAGATCCCGTGGGCATGGAGCGTCACCAGCAATATGCTGGAAAACGCCTTTGGCAGCGGCAACCTGCCGAATTTTCGAGAGAGTTAAATAGCAGATGATGTTGAAGATCATTGCGCCAATCTTGTACCCCTGTCGGGCCCTTTTGCGCGTGTGCACGGCGACGGACTTGTGGACGCCAGCGTCCTCGAGAAGATTGGAGCCCGCAACTATCAACTCAACAACTCGATCTTGAGCTTCTGGTGGGAACTCGAGATCCACGAAGTTGTCGCGCACATACGCCGCACCGAGATGATATGGAAGCATTGCCAATTCGCGGCAAACGTTATCGAAGGCTGCGGATCGGTCCACACATATTCGAGAGAGCGATCTCCGCTGGTGCCTGGCCACAGAAGAACGAAGATCGACAACCAAGGCGGCCGTAGCAGTGCTGCGGCCTCCGACAGCACCGCACTGGGTGACACAGCAACTGCACTCGGGTAGTGCTCGTCGAGCTCGTCTTTCGGGACAGCCCCGTGGACCCTGCCGGTGTGGGCTTGGACGAGGGTGCCGCGGCTGCTGGAGGTGATCGCCTTCTCGCCCTTGCGCTTCCAGATGTCCCGCACGCGCCCCCCTTTCATGGCGAGGGGGCACCGCGCGTGCGCCCGAGTCAGCTTGAGCACCGCCTGGGCGAGGAGTGCGGCCGGTTGGCCCCCGGCCTTCCACGTAGCAGGGCCCACGCCATCTGGGGCGGTGTCCTTGCGACCAGGCACGGAATTGAGGGGACTCGACGTAGTAGAGGCTCACGGGTGGGGCCTTCTCTACGTGGTCTGGAGGCCTCACGGCGTCGATGCTGATGATGATGACGAGGATGATGATGATGGTGATGATCATGATGATGACGACGATGACGATGACGATGACGATGATGACGATGAGGATGATGGTGATGATGATGACGACGATGACGATGACGACCACGATGATGATGACAATGACGATGACGCTGACCATGGTGATGGTGATGATGATGAGGATAATGAAGATACCAATAATGATGACGATGACGATGAAGTTGACATTAATGATGATGCTGCTGCTGGTGATGGTGATGATGCTGACGACGATGATGATGCTGATGGTGATGACGATGACGATGATGATGATGGTGATGATGATAATTCTGATGATGATGGTGATGATGATGAAGGATATGATGATGCGGATGATGATGATGACGATGACGACGATGATGATGATGATGATGATGATGATGATGATGATGATGATGATGATGATGATGATGATGATGATGATGACGAGTGGTGAGGATGAGGACTATGATGACTATGATGATGAGGAGGAGGAGGAAGATGAGGAGGAGGAGGATGCGAGTCGAGATATGCAGCAGACGTCGACCCAAGTCTTGGCCTCACTGCCAGCGCTGTCCTCCACCACCTCCGACGACGCCGTGGCGAGCGCGGAAAATGGGTGAAGCTCTGCGCCAACTTTTCTGGAAGCACACCTCGGGTGGTGCTAAGCACGCTCTGATAACCTGAAAGGGGCTCTCGTGAACTCAAGTCGTCCTGCCCCCCCCCAGCGCGCGAGGAAACAAAGCTCGAACATCGCCACTGTTTTCACCATTTGCTGGGGCTGTGCGCGGCTACGCTGGGCTGCGCCAGCAATCGGCGCCCAGCCCCAAACCGGCGCTTTCGACTGGGGGACCCTCACTCGATCGGCCCCCAGGCCACACCTGGGTGTGTATGGGAGGAGGGGAGAGGAAGCGATGGGGGGATGAGGGAGGAAGGTGAGGGAGGCAAGCTAGCTGCGCTCGCGCCATATCGAGCATCCTCTTTCCCACCCATCCCTTCCCGTTGTGCTATTTTTTCTATCTCTCCGCAACAGCGTGTCATAGCGGACTTCGAACTCCAAAGAGGACCCCATCGTTTTATGCGGAATCGAAAGCTGCGTATATTGGAGGAGGTGGCGAGTGAGCAGGAGGATGAGCAGAAGGAAAACGAGGAGGATGAGGAATAAGGAAGACGAGGGCGAACGGCAGTTGCAAGAGATAGAGTGGAAGGAGCGGGAGTAGCAGGAGGGGAAGGCGGAGGAGCGGGAATGAGGGGACCGACAACGATGAAACAGGACTCAGATCCACAAAGGTGGCCCGCGCTTGCGCGAAATCGCACATCTGAACGCCGATCCGAAAAAAAGGCCCACGCTGCACCGGGAGCATCATGTTGAAACCATAGAAACAATCGGCTTGTAAGGAACCGTATGACACTGTCGTCTTTCAACTCCTGGACGCCTGGATAAAGACGCCAGTGTAACAAAAAACAATACTCGGAGAGGGCCGCCGAATATATTCCAGCATTCGTAATGTGTAATTGTGGAGCAGACGATGGGGGGGGGGGGGGGGCGGGGAAGGCCCCGATCAGTCGCGCAGCGGCGGACTAGTAGCAAAACGTTCGGCCACCAGCGCATGTTCTGTCCCACGCTCGGCAACTCAATGTTTGAGGGGCTGCTCGAACTCGCGATTTGTCTCAAGGCGTCACATGGCGGAGGATCGGATCAAGCGGCACGTGTGCCATGGCTCTTGCGCAAAAAGGAAGGGGGAGGAGGAGGACGTGGAGGGGGAGGGGGGGGGAGAGGATGCCAGACATCGCAGAAGGAACGAACAAAACAGGGCCGCAAGAGGGTCTCCAGAGGGCGAGCGCGAGGAGACTACAAGGGCCGCCCCCCGCAAGATGGCTTCAAAGACCTGTGGCGGGTTCCCAGGAAGGGCGGAGCAGGGAGGGGCTGCGGCGCCGAAATAAAGTGGGCGGGGCGGAGGGGGCGCTGGGCGAGCGCTGGAGCCGTGGGGGGCGCTGAGACGTGTGGGGGAGGGGGCGGAGGATGGGGGGGGGTTGTCGGGGCGGAGGGGGCACTGGGCGGGCGCTCGAGCCGCGGGGGAGCGCTCAGACGGCGCGGGGGAGGCGGCGGGGC